CGTTTTATTATGATTAAAGTTACATTGTTTTACAAAGCTCAAACTATAAAATTATTTGAAAATACATTTATTTATCAATCTTCATCGGTATCCCATGTCGGATTGACTTGAAGAGTTCTGGTCTGTTGAATTCTTCTAATAGCCTTTTGGTCTTCAAGGTCATCAATGTCGAGTTCCTCATCATCGTCATATTAAGAGTAAGTGCTATCGGTATCGGTATTTGGTGGCGTGCTTAATCCCATGGAGATTTCATTTTCTTCAAGATTTTCTTCCACCGTTTCAATATCCGTCTCTAACGATGTCATGTGTTGAATCCTATCAACGCTATCCAAATAATTCTTCAAGCAAATGCAACACTCAACGGACTTCGGGCCTAGTCTTGTCCGACGTATCGAAATGATCATGCCACTAAGAGGAAAAACAGATTCCGAAGCTACGGTACTAGCTTGGATTGTTAGTACATCACGTGCGATGCACGCCAAAATCGGGAATTGAGGTTGTTTTTGTTTCCAAAAATCTAATAAATCAATTTTTTTCAAAATCTTCAACATCATTTGCAGGGCATGCGACCATAAAGTTAGTATGCACATACATATTTAGTTCACACAAATCGTTATCGTATCAACTTTTTTTACTTGATTCATTTAAAACCTCGTTCATTAAATTAGTCATCAACTCTTTACGACTTTGTCGATGACCACTAGAAGAAGAACTAGAACCCGCAAAACCACGTGAGGAAGGTGCTTGTGGTTGGTTTCCTCCTTCGTAAAAATGTTTGTAATGATCAAATAAATATTGAAAATTGCGATTAAATAAACATTTTTGTTCCATTGAAAAAGAAATATCCGTAGCGGTACCCAAACCAAAAGCCACACATATTTGTGTAATTAAAACTTCAACACCAATAATATTTAAATACGGGTTTAACTCCGCAGCACAAATAAAAGCAAATGGATGCCCATAAAATATTTTAACAATTTTTTTTCCATGCAAGACATCAACCTTCCCAATCGTGATGGTCTTCGTATTGGGCAATTTTACTTACCAAAATATAGATTTGGTTTAAAACTAAAGGGCTTGTTAGATAATAAATTCCCGATAAAAGTGTTGTCGTATTTATAAAATCCCCTAAAATGTCGTACAATCCTTCAATCATGGCCCAATCGAAATTTCCAATAGAGTTTTGCGGGTAATGATTCATATAAAAAGAAAAAATATAATTTTTTTATTTTAATAAATTTTCAATCATAAAATATGTTGAGTTCCAATGACCGTGCATATCGTGGCTCGGTCCCAAAGCTCTAAAACCGACGTCTTGGCAATACTTTCTATAGGCCGCATGCATTTTTGTACCTTTTGTGAAAATTCGCCGCAACATAAATCTAAATTTATCTGTTACGGGTTTACAAGTATTTAAACCGTCTTGAACGGCTAAATTTATTATACGGACACAACAACGTGTATGCAATAATATACCGTCTAAAATAGGTGTCAAATGACACATTAATTTTTTCACACAAGCATTGTTATCACTAGCGTTATCAAGTGAAATACTAATTATTTTAGCGGTTAAATTATAAAATGCAAGGGTTTTTCTAATAATCGAATATTGACGTGCACCCGAATGTGGCACACCAAACGGTTCAAACGTGATTACACGTTTGAATAATTGTCATGTTGTAGGCTCAACCCAATGTGCCGTTATGCATATATACGAAACCGGCAATCCGTATGGTGCGCTCCATACATCACACGTTAACGAATTATTGTTAGGCAAAGCAGAAAACAATTGTTGCATTTCGGATTGGGCAATTTTCCACATTTTTATAGCATCACGTCTAAGGGTTTGACGACTTACCGGCTTGTATCGTGGTTGTAACATCTTTTGAATCATCTTCGTAACATGAGGGTTGTCGAAGTGTCCAAAAGGGAAACCGAATTGAATGACACATTGTGTTGTCATTTGTTCGTTCAAATCGGCATTGTAGAACCATATTTGACCTGGGTGTCAAGTATCGGTTGGCTTGAATCCCCCCCCCCCGACCTCAACCCGGGCACGTTTTTTCGGTGTGCCTCCTTAACGTATAATTTCCTTCCGCCGTAAGGAGAGCTTGACACAATGTGCATTGTGCCTTTCGTTTTCTGGTCGTGAGAACCACCAAGTTGTAGTGATTCCAAATCTCGGACTTTCGTCCGTGTTCGACAAGAACTTGGGAAACTTGTTCGTTTGATGGTTGTTCACCGGCCATTTCGTAAATCGTAATTAAAAGAGAGAAATAAACAAAAATTATGAAGTGGAAACGAGAAATTAATACGTAACGAATTGATAGTGTTAATTTATTAACCTTATTGTATCATTTTCTTGACCATTTTCTTTTGTTTTATTTGCCCATTAGTGTCTTAGTTGAGTCTTTTTATGTCATTTTCATATATTAGTAGTAATATATCATATCTAATGTTAATTCTCTGTTTATGCAGATTTTTGATGATTTTTGAGCCAAATCCTGCAGCAGTCTTGTAGGAGTATGTGTGGTAGAGTCCTATAGCACATGTCCGTGAGCTGCACCTTTTGCCTGGGCCGATAATTCTTGGGCTGCTTCCTTGAAGTTGCTGGGTCAACGACCTTGGGCCTGGTCAAAGCCCATTTTTGAAGCTTATTTTGTCCTATTAAATGGCTCCCATTGTGCAAGCTTCCTTAGCCTATAAATAAAGGCTTAAGGCTTTGTTTTAAACACTCACTTACACACTTTTTTACACTCAATCTTTGAGTTAGAAACAATTGCTCTCTAATTATTATTGTTTTCGGTTTTATGCTTTCGGTTTTCTTCCTTCCAACCAAGAACCTATTTTTGTGAAGTGAATTTGCGGTTACATTATCAAGTTTTAATTCAAGTGCTCGTATTTAATCTCATCTCATTTATGTTCTTACTTTCAAGTTACAAACGTTTTCTGACTTTTGTTACAAGTTACAATTAGTCGATTTTTGTTGCTTTACTTTGGATTTTATCCTTTGTGACTCTCGACTAATTTACGTAGACTAAATAATTTGTTCTCAAGTCTTTGCAATGAAACTTGTTTTGCAAGTTTCGTTACTTGCCTTGCAAGTTTCTCCAAAGTCAACTCCTTTTTCCAAAGTCTTCTCTTCTTTTCAAGGTTTTCAAGTGTCACTTCTTAGTACATCAAGTACTTACTTTACATCATTTTTTAGTTTAATTTTAATTAATAATATTTAGTTATTAGTAATTTAATTTCAGTCCTTTACATTTCAGTCTTTATATTTCAGTCATTTACATTACAGTCTTTTATATTTTAGTTTTTACTTTTCTGCACTTTACTTTACTGCAATTTACTTTTCTGTATTTTGATTTCCAGCAATTTACTTTCAGTCATTTATATTTATGTCATTTAATTTCCAGTACTTTAAATTATAGTATTTCCATTTCTTGTAATTTATTTTCTGCAATATATTTTTCCGTATCAGTTATTTATTTTTCAGTCCTTACATCATTTGAGAGAAGAAACCGAGCGATGATGGGCTAACGCCTTAGCTTGGGGTGTAACGGAAAATTAAGACTAAAGCCGATGTGAAAGTACAAATGTGTCCTATTAGCATTATAGTCTGCTATTTGTTTCAGGTGCTTAATATTTCATTTGATGATTACATTAAAATTAATTGACAACTAATTTTGTGTATAAAAATGTATTGACTTTCAAAACCTGAGGTAATAGGAGAAGGCTATAAATAGCTTTAGTGTCTGACAAATGCTATACTCATACGGTGTAGAATGTTAACACTGTGTGGTGCTAGGATTCACGACGTTTAACATAAATGATATCGTATTGATAGCACCTTGACTGGTGTGTGCTCTTGGGAGGCCGTCTGATCCGATAGTTGATATTGTCATAGTTATATAAAATCATTTATTGATTTTAGATAATTGTGACATAAATGCTATGTCACCTTTTTGCTGAATCATTTGTTTAGTGTCTTAATCAACTGTTACACCCTGTGCTTTTTTTTAAGACTGATATTTTTCTTAGTGGTTAATCAAACCTCCCAATTTTAGATAAATCAAATCCCTCGTTTCGCCATCTGAAATTAGTTTTTATAGACTGGACTTTTTAAATAACTTTACAAGCTATCTCTGTGGGAACGATATATGGTACTTATACCGTTATTACTTGTTACGAGACGACAGTAGTTCAAGGTGTATATTTGCGCCGAGTTCTATTTTTGTGTTGAAATATAAGGTTGAATAAACCGACGAGCACGAATTCACAAAATGGAGCGAAAAACCGAGAATGGAGAGCGTTTTTTGCGTTTTTGAAGATGAGATGAGTTGGTAACAAACTAGGAAACTCCCATCTCTATTTATACTCATTTGGTAGCTTAGAAGATGAAAAAAAGGGCCAAAATTCGTCCCTAACGGCTATATTGACTTATAACGGCTATATTGACCAGATTTGACTTTCGTTGACTTTTGTTGACCGGGCCGATCCTATAACTGGTTACATAACCAGTCCTGGTCTTAACCGGTCTCGGTCCTAGAAAACGTTAAAATCACTAATTGGTTCATAATTGACGGTCCACAATCGGTCCCGGTCGGTTCCGGTCCTCCGACGGTTACGGCCCGGGCGGGACCCATTTGGCCATCTCTAGTACAGGGAACCCATCAGTGTTATTTTGAAAAAAGAAAAACCCATGCTAGCTAGGGTTTATTGTGAATCTATATATATCTATAAAGCAGAATCAAGATATGTTGACGTGACATCTCCTCGACGTAGATATCCTATTTTCATCTTTTTTCCAGATTTTGATTTTTTTCTCCTTAGTAATTTTGCAAATTAATGTTGGGTTTTCTCTAAATCCCTCAATCTCTAGGGTTTTTTCATTTACGTGTTCTCCATCTCCATGTACGAGTTATAAACTACGAGTACGCTCTCCCCTCTTCTTTTCCATCTCTCATCCATGGCAGGAGAGTATACACAAGTTTATCAATACAATAAGAAGACATTGGAACATGGATTAAGGAGAAGTCTCCATTGAGGCTTTAGAATTTTGTGAGAATTTCGATTATTTTTCTTTTTGTTGTGGATTCACTTATGTTGTTTTTTATGTTTTCTTATAGTTTCTTAATTTGTAATTTTGTAAGAAAAAACACTAACAATAAGGTGACATTTTTAGGCATCGCAATACTAATTTTCTTTTTCTTGAACTTTGTTTTTTTATTGATGTAATTATTATCAAAACATTAAATTAATTAGACTATTTATTTTCATTGGTTACACCCAATATTTGTTTTTTTATTCGTTTATCTTATATGACTCTATTTGTTATTTATATAACAATAATTGAACACACACATACCTACCTATGTATGTATGTATTCAATATATATAATCAAAATATCTGTAAACACATTTATATAAATGAAATTAC